AAAAAAAAAGAAAGAAAGGTTGATTTATACTCCCTAGTCAGCAGAAGGTAGCCACAACTTTGTTTTCCACTTGGGTCGATCCTGCTCCTTTCCAAGCACGTGCTGTCTGTACACTTGTGGGTGCAATGTCTGCTCAGTGCTATGGATGCATCCAAGAAAGCATTCCAAGGCAGTATCACAGATACCAGCCAAGGGTCATTTTTTTTCCTTGTAAGAGAAAAAAAAAAAGCAGGGAAAAATAAAAGTGCTCCTATGCAATATCGGGAATTTGAAAGTCGTGTGAAATAAGAGTCCTTGAATCAGCCAAAAAGATACACCAGTTGCACTGAAGTAGGTGCCACAATGACCAAAGCTCATTAAGATGTGAATATACACCAGCCATTCACAATCCAAAACAAGAGGAGGAGGGAGGGAAAAAAAAGGATAAAGAAAAGATGCCATTGGTTTGCTGATATTTAACAATCCCAGGAGATTTTTTTTTTGTTCATTTTTGCGGAGGGAATTTTTTTTTTTTGCATTTTTCGCTCTGTTTTCTTGATTTTTTTTTTTTTTTTTTTTTACTGCAACACACTTTGCAAACAGGAAGGTGTGACATGCAAGACCAGCCAAGTCTCTTCCATTAAGTGTTCGACAACAAACCACCCCAAAAAAAAAAAACCAACCCACCCCCCTCTCCCCACCCCAACCCAGGCAGAGTCTGAAGGCACTTCCTCTCACATGATGTCTACGAAGAACTCACAAGGGTTGCCCATGGCCTTCTGGAAGGACTGGCGGCTCCCGGTGAGCTCCGGGGGGACCGCGCTCAGTTCCCGCACGGGAGGCCCTCCGGGGGGGCCGCTGGTCCCGTAGACTTTGGAGCCCAGCTTGGGGAGGCTGTAGAGCGGGGGCACCCCCGGGGGCCCCCCGTAGGAGTGGTGGCTGTGGTGGCTTCTGTCGCTGTGGGCGGCGGAGCCGTGGCTGCGGTGGCTGAGCTGGCTGGCGGGCCGGTCCCGGCGCGCGGTGCTGCCGCCGCTCCGCGCCGTGTGCTCCGACTCGCTGCCACTGCCCCCCGACTTGCGGTCCTTCTCCCTGCCCACAGCTCGCCTGCTGTTCTCGCTGGTGCTCCGGTTCGAGCCGCTGCTTTTGCTTCCTGCAACCCCACGAGGGGGGGGGAAAAAGGCAGAGAAAAGCACAGTTAGGCCATCGTCCGCTCTCGGCTCCCGCGGCGGATCCGCGTGGGACCGACGGCCGCGGCGAGGGCTGAGCGTGCCAGTGGTGGCTCGTGGGGTTTGGCAATGAGGGGCAGTGGGACGAAGCTGACAGGGTTGTGCCATGCACAGGGACACGGAGACACCTCAGAGCTCGCACAGTGAAAGCAGCAGCTAAAGAACAGCTCCTGGCTGGAACCCACCCGCCCCACCGAGGAGGAGCAGGATCTGGGGTTGGACTCAAGCAAATGAGGTTCAATCTGTAACTGTCTCTGCTTTGGTACCTTCTACCTTTCCCAAAAGAAACTCCTTTGCCTTCTCTGTCATCCTTGGTCTCACTGGGCACACTCGCACCCTGAGGTTTTGTTGGCTTCAGTGGGGAGATTCTTTTCAAATTCACCGCTACAGTGTTCTGGCGTTGGAGAACTCTTTAAACAACAGTTACCTGTTGAACTGCTCTACAGTAACGTGCAGGATGTTCCCAGAAGAGGCCACTAAATCAGCTTGGAAAAAAAAGTATTGCCACTGGACTGTCAGCTGAGTTGTTGCTACATACAAACTTCACTAAACTTCAGAACTGATTTTGGATGAAAGTTGAAGGTCTTGCTCTGTTCCCATGAGAGATAGGCTGGGATGATGTCAGGACACAGTCCCAAGGGAATTATTTTTTTTAAAAAACCCAACAAATCAACCCAAGGACCATCTCATTAAGTTCATGCCACCTTAGTGTAAAATTTTCCAAAAAAGGATCCCCAGCCAGCAGAAGAGGGGACCAGCTTTTGAGTCCAACTGAGCCACTGAAATGGAAGAACCAGAATGATTGTGAACTACAGGTGACCTTCTGCTTGCTCCTGTTGACACAGGAGATGGGAAACCAGACTGGCCTGGTGTGTAACATTCCCTGCAGAGTGCCAGAGATGGAAAATACACACTACAAAATCACTGGGCTTTAAGTTAGAAGTGTTCTGAGCCCAGGACTCTGAAGTGCTGTTTGCTGATTGTTAGGATGCAACCCTGCTGATAAAGGAGAGGGTTCACAAGAAACCCAACTCTAATATTCCACCCTGGGAGGGACCAACACAGCCCTGTGTCCCTGCACATCAGACTCATAACCAGGAGCAGGGACTATTTGCTTATTTTCTGAGGAGCAGTGGGGAGCCTGGTGACACCTGACAGTGAGGGACGTGGTGCCACCCCCTCTGAGCTGCTGCAGCACAGTCACACAGGGGCCACACAGGTTGGTATGCCAATGTCACACTACTGCACTGCCGTGCACTGAGACAGGTCGAGCGTCCAAGACAATCAAAAAGAAAACAAAAATCAAAATAATAATAATAATAATAATAATAAAAATAATAAAAAATACAGCTAAACATTTGGGTCACGAGAGTCTAAATGGTCATGCTGTGGATTTGTTATGGAGGCATTTGAAGCTTACCAATCCCCTAGAGTCAGCCATTCCTCTAGGAATCCTTCAGTCTAATGCTTGCTCAGGACAAAACAAGGGAATAACAGTTACAAGCCAAGAAACAACACAAGAAGTGTAGTTTCCAAAAGAAGAACAAGGAAAAAGCGTCGAAACCTTTCAAAAATCAAACACCTTGGCACCTTCTGTGAGGCTCTCTATAGCCAGGGGACACAGCATGGATAAAACACCATTCCTTTCCTATTCCAGCAGCAGAACAAATTCCTGCTGCCCACAGAATCAGCTGCCAAAGAGCACCCCCAACATTCTTTGCAGTGCAATCAGTTCTAAAACCTCTGGATGCCACTGTGAGCTTCCTCCCAGCAGAAATTCTTATTCTGAGAAGCCACAGTGCTCAAATCTTGTGAGCAAGCTCCTGTTATGAAATTATTTGTGCAGTTTTTGTAAGATCTAACTGGCTGTGGCAAACAGGGATAAGTTATATCCCAGTTACTGGATGTTCACCATAAATACACAGAGAAACCTCGCCCTTTCTTTACTGGCAGCGTTTCCAAAAGCAAAACTCACTCTGGAAGTGGGGGTTTTTTTTAAAGAAATTAAAAAATAATATCTTTACAGTCAAAAATATATATTTTTTGTTTACTAAGGTTAAGGATGAATCACAAAATTATGCTAGGGCAGGAAAGGAGGAGGTCAGGTCTTTAATCCATGCAGTATTCTCTTTTTTCCCTGTCACATACGACAGAAGGGACTCTCCTCCCTGTGAGCAGTGTTTCAGCCCTGTAAACCTCTGGCTGGCCACCTCCCTCTTGTGTGTCTCACACAAGCCAAGAATGCGATTTTCCTTTTGTGCTGAGTACTGAAGTGAAAGCCAAGAGCACCTTGTTCTAATCCCTGTTCCATCAGCAAAGAAATGGCCTCATTTCCAGCACTATCAGCCCCAGTGCTGGCAATTCCTGACTGGGATAAAACAAGGCTGGCAGTTCCCATACAGAGCTGAAAGCCCACTCCACCACAGACACACACACCTCTGATCAAGTGCTGTTGCACAAAACCCATGCAGGTAGCAAACAAAACCACAGGACAGGCACAGACAGAACGAAGGAACGCAAGCAAATGGATCGGGATAATGACAGGCACGGAAATAAAACCCGGATTAACCAGCCTACCTTCACTTTGCTGGCTCCCTGCACTGCCACTGCCATAGCTAAAGCCTGGGTCTTGGTATGCTGGTGGAAAACACGGAGGGGGCAGAGGATACTGGTAGGGGTATCCTTGGCCTAATGGCCAGGGAGCAGCAGGATGCGGGAGCGGAGCGAGGGTGTCCTGATCCGAGGCGCCGCTGGAACCGTTGTTGAGGTTCAGTGCAGCCAGGTCTGGAAAAGAGAGAAAGGGTGAAGACTCTGCTCTCACCTGGCAGGGGAGAATTTTACAGCTTGGAAATGGAGTGGCAGGTCTGTGGCATCACCAGAAGTAAATCCTGCCTGCCTGAGCCTCAGTGCAATGCCATTACTTGAGGAGTTCACCCTTCTCTTCCAAGTGCTCTAATTCCTGGTCTAACAGGAAGCATCGACCACTTGTCCCACAGCTTCAGAATATGAATGACCTGTTCTGAAACACCCACTTGTGAAACCCTCAGGACTCACAGAATCCCAGAACAGACAGGGTAGGAAGGGTTGCAGATCATCTGCCCAGGGCGGGGTCACCTGGAACAGGCGACACAGGAACACATCCAGGTGGGTCTGGAATGTCTCCGGAGAGGGAGACTCAGAATCACAGAATCAGCTGGGTTGGAAAAGACCTCTGAGATCATCCAGTCCAATCTCTGACCTTGTCAACTCCACGCCCTCCCTGGGAAGCTGCTCCAGTGCTCTGCCACCCTCCGTGGAAAGAAGTTCTTCCTCATGTTGAGGACAAACCTCTGTGCATGCTGTGAGCACGAGGGACACACACACACAGCTCTGCCCTTCCCAGAGGGGAACTTACTGCCACAGAGGTCTCCAAAGACGTAGTAGCACTGCTCTGAGAAGGTGATTTTGTTCACAGTGTGCCTGAGGTAGCCGTGTTTTAACATGCTGCTGGCGTATTTCCTCGCCTCCCGCCGGTCTTTGAAGCCTTCCACGTGTGTGTAAAGCCAGTCAACCACATCTGCTCCTGCAATGACAACAGGGAGAGGAGACACGGGATCATCTGAGCCAAACCGATCCACCACGTGAACGGCGACACCAAACACACGCACAGAAAATCTCATTTACACACGTTGTGCAACTCTTTCATGAAAATTACACGGCATTTCCAGACAAGAAGGGACTGGGAGAGTCACCCTCCTCAAGAGGTAGATGTCAGGTTGTCAAAAGACCCGTGTTCCAAAGCCTTTCTCAGCAAAAAGTAACTGCAGCCTAGACTGACCAAACGTTAGCACAGCTCAGGCCACAGGTAGAGACTAGCTGTGGTAATTTTAAAACTAATTAAGATGCTTTATTTAAGGCTGGAACTGGAATTCCAAGGACTGTTGCTCTGCTGAGCTTGGGCAGATTGCTGGAGCCACCTGAGCACCTGAGATATAAAACCAAGGATTAAGAACCAGGCTCTGTGTGGGCATGAGAAACGTGCAGCAGTTTTGGCTGTCCAGGCTCACACAAGAATTATTAATTATTTCCTGTCACACTCAGAGCTGCTCATAAATAGCAAGTCAAGGGAATTTAAGAGGTCATAGGCAGAAAAATAAAAAGTTCACATAAAGGTAGTTTCTTGAATTTATTTTCATAAAGTCACTGGGGTTTTTTCCCCCCAGCATTCCTGGGATCTGCTTACCTATCACTGCATTGGAGATGGTGATTTTTAACCACATCCTGTCCCGAATTTCAAGGCCTGAGTCTGGGAGCTGCATAACCTTGACAATAGTAGCCATGTCACTCTTCACAGTTAAGGGAGATTCTTCTAACTCTAAAAGGAAGAGAGGTTACAGGCTGCTTTGAAATGAACTGAGTCTGAAAAGTCCTTCTCAGCTCCCCATTTGGATGAAACAAAGACACAGTTTTACCAACAGATGCAAAA